TGTTAGAACTCAATGATTATCCTAATTATATTTTAGATTTTTTATATTTAAAATGATATGTTTATCTTCTATTTGAATATATTTATATGCAGTTAGTTACATGAATTCAAACATGGAGCTTTAATAAATTATACTTATGCACAAGTACTTGTAATCTTGAATTTTAATAATATGTACCAATAAACAGTACTTCATGCATAAAAAATAATTTTTGAGAACTTTTGTCAAACGTTTTATAATACAATATAGTATATATGTCAAATTAAAACCATTTTCTTAAATTCTATTTTGAAATGAAGAATATATTAAAAACAATTCATTGACATATTCTGGTATGGTATCAGTAATAAACATTTTTTTAGTGTTTGGATAAACAACTTATACCGGTGTCAAACCGGTAATAAAGAGTTTTTGAAGAAGTTAAACAATTCTAACTTATAATAAGTTGATAAACATTTTTTTGTAAAAAAACATAAGTTGTTTCTAATAAGCAAATCTCAAACACCCCCTAACTCGTTACAAACTAAATATAGTTTTGGTCATTTTGCAGTTTTGAAAATTACTATTACAGTCCCTAAACTCCAGTTTTTACACTCTAAATTCCAATGGTCTGTACTTTGTTACGATTTGGTTCGCTCTAACTAACACCGTTAAAAAGATTTCGTTAAGTGGGACATTTTTGTTTTTTTTCCCCTCTCAATTTCTTTAAAAATAAAATAAAATTGCAATATAATTTATATAATTATATAGAAAATTAATATATATATATATATATATATATATATATATATATATATATATATATATAGGGGTTTGATCATTTGAGAATTCTAAAATTTGTGAGATTTGTGAAAACTTCTACCTTAGAGTTTTGTTTTACATGATTTTTTCCCCGTCTATATATAGTATTTAATGCATTTATTAATATATATTTGCTTTATGATATGTTTGTTTCATAGGTATTTGGTGCACCATGTGAAACTTTTTTACGTGCATCTTTTGTTTCACAAATAGATAAAAGACGTTCAAATTGTGAAACGAGTACATGTGAAACAAACATATTATGAAACAATCCTAGTCTTAAATAGAAAAAATAATATGAAATAACACATGATGCACAAATTCTCAAAGTTACCGCAATTTCATTAGTTCTCAAAAGAAGGCTCCCCTGTATATACACACATATATACATGAGGAGAGACTGAAAGGAATACATCGATTCGTTGTCCCCTTGCGAGAAGAATAATGTATTGACAATGATATGATAATTTAGGGTTTATGTTTGCCACTTGTGGAGATGATTTCTTCGTATCAAGGAGAAGAAGGGGGTGGTAGTGTTCAATCTGAATCGGGAAACTAGACCAAGACGGATTATAGAAAGCCAAACCATTTTTTCGAAAGACAACCATCAATTAAGACCAAACAGAAGGAACAACTGAGTTCACATAAAACATAAGATACAGACAAAAGCACACCCACCTTCTACAAGGCACAGAAAGGAAAGAAGCAGCAAAACCCAAACCAACCAGACAGAAAGCCAAAGCATATTACACGATGAAGGCCACAAGAAGTAACATATTACAGAACCCAATTGTAATGTGGATTCTTTTGTATGTTCTAAAAGGTTATGTATTTTTTTGTACTTGTTGGTAAATGGTTTTGTGCTTGAAGAACAATCGCCGCAATTGATGCTTGATTTTGGGACTTCTACGGTGAATGAAATTTAGGGCTTGATTTTGATAATTCGTTGAATGAAAACCTGACACCAACAAAAGCCATTAAACTGGTGAACCCCCTCCGTACGATGGTGTATCTTCGTGATCAATGATAATTACGCCGATGGTGGTCGACATCATTAGCACAAAGGGAAGGTGGTAGAGAGAAGAAACGAGGGACGGAGACACGTGGCAATATCTAATTGGATGTTTAAAATTGATTTTTCAAATAATGTTATAGAAAGACAAACACACCCTTGGTTTATCATGAAAAAAATTAACGTCATGATTAAATGCAACAACAGGGACCACAATCGTAATAAATTGCAAATCACCAGGACCTAAAGTGTAATAAATGGAGTTTAGGGACTATACTAATAATTTTCAACAAAACATGAGAACCAAAATTGTAATTTACTCAAGAATCTCTTAACTCAAGGGTGTTTTGGTCTGAACAAAAAGAGTATATCTTTAAACCACTTACATTTCCTTAATATTTTGTGTAGAATTTTGACCAAAATATCCATGACATATAATCAAGAGTAAATTACATTTTCCATCCCTGTCGTTTGTTAACATTTGCTATTTTCATCCTTGTGTCTTTGAAATTATGGTTTTCATCCCATGGTTTAAAACTTTATCGTTGTCTTCATTTTTATAATTTAAAATGTATTGCTATTTTCATCCCTATGGTTTACAACACATTGCTATTTTAGGGGCCGTTTACCAAATACCTACCCGGCAAGTGCTTACCAATAAAATTTAACACCATTATATACTTACCGGGTAAGATTTTAGTCCACCAAAACGACATCACATGCAACAATTTACCCGGTAAGTGCGTACCATGATAAGAGTTGTTGCCTTCACTTACCATGTAAGACTCTTGATCCTTGTCTCGTTTTTACCGGGTAAAATTCTTGGTCCTTACCATATTCATCCGATGAGGTAATGTGACTTGGTAAGCGCTTACCTGAGTAAGCGTTTGGTAAACGGCCCCTTAGTCCCTCGTACTTATTGGTAGGGGTTAGTTTAAGGACGAAAATAGCAATAAACTACAAACCAAAGGGACAAAAACCCGTAACTTTAAAACCGCAAGGATGAAAACCACAAATTTCCACAAACCATAGGGATGAAAAACGTAATTTACTCTATCATCAACCATGGGTTCCAACCCCTAATCTCACTTCACTCATCCTCTCATATGTCCATTTAAATTGCCAATAGAAAACCCCCCTCATTGCCTCATTATTTCCTATTCCACCCAAACCAAACCACACGGATCCAGTAAACCTCACTCGAAAGCAGTGTCAGGAGGGGATATACGTAAACCTCACCTCTTTTCCAAAAAGATAGAGCAGCTGTTTCCACTGAAAGCCTCCAGCTTGCAAAAAGAATTTCGTGATGAGAAGGTTTATCAAAAAAGTTGGAAGAAACATAAAGAATAATTCTTATTTCACACAAGCCATCACTTGGAAATACCAAGTAGACCATAATTATTCACTAATGTGAAAAGCCAAGCTAAAGGGCATCTTGTCCATAAAATCTCAAGGGAATCATCATCCATCTAATAACATACACAAATATGCAAAAAAACCAAAAGAATGTAACTGGAAACATGGTCAAAAAAGACTTACTGAATGATACGTTTCGCTCATCTTTTCAGTGGTTTTTTTCTCCATTCGGTGCGACCCCTGTTTATTTCGAGACCGTCACCAGATGATCTCAGTAAATGCAAGAATTTACTCAAATTTTCTCCATCGGCAGACCCGTTGCTTGAATCATTGAGTGGCTCGGGAGTGGTGAGAGAATCAACTATGTCGTCATGCTGGCATTCGCGTCTGTAGTCTAAGGTAATAGCTTGCAGTTCATGACTGTCTATGATTTCTTGTGGGATGCTCTGTTGAAAGAGAAAAAATTCAGCACCCCCAAAAAAGGGAAATTATTCAATCATTTCGTAAGCGTATTTACATAGATGAATACACAGCCGCTCTACCCTTTGTAGTGGAGGACAGGTTTGCGTAAATCTCACCCACAAACCCTACTTTCGAGTGAGATATATTGGGTTCGTTTGGTTCTACGTAGGTGGAACTTTCTTTCATATTTAGGGTGCATTTGGTACGCAAACAAGACTGGACTGGATAGGACTGGACGGGCGAGAGTGAAGCAGGGGATGAAAGAATTGCAGAAGGTTTTAGGGTTTTAATTTGACAGGAGTAGTTTAGTAATTTACCAATCTTGACCTGTTTTCGTAATTTTTGTTCCTCCAATTTTTGGTGGAACAGAAAAAATGCATTTTTGTCCCACTTGGGTCTTGCCATGTCCAAGTCTAATGTTGCGAGAAACACTAGAGAACAAGTTTTTGTACTGTCCCTTCCTGTCCCACTCATCACATGCAGCCTTATAGAACCATAAAATGATATTTTATATAACGGGTTCCTTAAGAAAGCAAAAGAAAATAATATGAACAATGAAACGTTGAAGGTAGGTAACACACAATCTAAAAGATGTGGAACATTAAATAGTTTAACTAACCTCAAGAACCCATCCAATGTAGGTAACATTGTTGACATGCTTGTTCATATCCAAATCGGCTCTTCTTGGCTGTATATTTTGAAAGATTATCAGTAGTTAATACTTACCTCAAGAAACTAGAGCTTATATGAGGCAAAATTGCGACCAAAGGGCCATTGACACAGCGAAATCCGGGTTACCGGTAGATTCTGACCTCCCTAGAGGTCAAGGTTCAAGTCTCGCCAAAGATGAGGAGTATGTGTGAGTTTTGCCATATATAAATAAATGTACTTCAAAAAAAGAAAATTTTAGACAAAATTGCGGTCTTACCACAAGTCCTGGCCTCGAAAATTCAGCTGGATCTTCGAGTTTCGCTATTTTCTTCAGGCTGTTATTGTTCTCTTCAGGGAATGCTAATCTGAAGCCACAATGTAATCAATGATAAAAGTGAGAACATTTCGATTATGAGAATATGTGAAACCCAAATGGTCCAAATCTAGCCGATGTGGGACTCCAACACGCCCTTTCAAAGGAGGCTACACGGGTATGGATTCCTCCAAAATGTCCCTAGAGTGGTAGATTTTGGCTCAAATACTATGTGAGAATATGTGGAACCCGAGATTATTCTCCTAGAGCCCTTGAGGAGAGAAGGGAGGTTGCACATATGTTGAAGATAAATGGTCAAAGTCTAGCCGATCTGGGACTCCAGCATCGATAATATTATAAACAACTATCTTGGCCAACGAGCACAAAATGTTACCTTCAGGAAATGCAGGAAAAACTTCTATGTTTATGTGTGCTCAATAATTTATATACATTTATATATTCAATCACTATAGAGGCGGGCCAATGCTCCAACTCAAATGTTTACAAAATGCATTAGTATCTTAAAGGCGGATATATTTTAGCGAGATACAGATCTCTACCTCAATGTCTTTGGACAAAAAATTAGATATTCATCTCGGACATCATCACTAACTTTCTGGAGCCTTCTAGTATCTTCATTCATCATCACCCACTTGCTGCAATTTAAATTGTCAATTTGTAATTCTATTAGCTAGAAAGATCCTCAGTAACTACCCAATAACTTCATTGAAAACCTTTAAATCAATAAGGTTGCAAATAAGCATAGGCGTAGTGTGGTTATACGACAAAAAGAAGCTTCAAGCAAAATAGCTATAGATCACTATAGATCCAGATCAAACCAAATGAGCCTGTATATCTCACCCAAAGGTGGGTTCTGGAGAGGGTAAGATGTACACAGACCTAACCTTTACCTTAAAGAGTAGAGCGGATATAGGTAAGCAAAAGCAATACATATTGAGGCAAGCTAACAATTGAATAAGAATGAATTCTTTCACTACTCAATTGCTTCATCTTTATTCTTGATATATGATTTATTTCATGTGAGACTAACTATAAAGAAGAATGGAATTATATAATGCACCTTGTAGCCCTTCCGATGACCTCACCATTGGCATAGTCTTTGAGAATCCAATCACGTCTAGTCCCGATCCTTCCTTCACTCTGGCACCAAGTCTCAATTTCAACCACGTCACTCCTAATACACATGCCAACATATTGACGATAGCATTTGCCATATATAAATACTATATACTTCAAACCAAATATTGAAGATAACAATTATGTGCAACGCAATAATCTATACCGAGACATTGTAAAACAACAAAAAAAGAATTACCAAGCAGGGTATCTGTAAATTTCAATATGCATTCGTGCAGTCACCCATATGAGATGCAATTTTCTCATTGTAGTTGTAGTGGCAAACCCATCGGTTGAAAATCCAACGCTCTGAGCATGATTGCCTCCAACCTCCTATAATATGTAAAAAAATTGCAAGAAAGACTGTTAAGAAAACATTAAATAGAGTTCGAAGATCAAATAGAAAAGCAATAACTACTTTCATCCGAAATGGAGTAGAATACAAGTACTTTAGTACAAATTGCTACAAATGCAGAGATATTCAGTATTTTAGCACCCATTGCTAAACTATTTTCACCAAAAAGGAGGTAGATAGATTAAAAGTACTTTAGTACCCATTGCTAGAAAGGCAGAGATATTCAGTATAGATCACAAGAATGAACCCTGGATTTAAGGTTTTGATATACATTCTCATATATCCCTACTTCATTCTTGTATAGGGTTTAGGGTTTACGGTTTATAAGGGATTTTCCTGTATGTTATCTTCAGGCTCCATGGAATGAGTCAAGTTGCGAACAAGCCGCAAGCTGGCTCAGACACCCCCAATTACCAAAAAAACATAGGATCAAAGCCAAGAGCAAGTTGCTATTCTAATGGCTAGTGCTAAGGAGTAAGGACTCTCATATCATTGAGCATCTTATGGATAGCATCAGCGGTTTCGAACCTACACAAATGGCACTTCCTGCATGCGTAATTGTGGTGGTAGGCATACAATTCTTAGCAGCCTGCTGCTTGTAAAATGTGGGTGATGAAAACTATAATGAGTACATTTAACTTGATAAATCAATTAATGAAAATTAATAAGCATGGACTATAGAGTCATTCCATCACATTATCCAAATTCAAAATCTCCATCATTCTACACCACACAAGCACACATTTGTGTGCAGAATGCTAAAAATTCACTCAAAATTCAAAAGAAAACTAGTTCATAAAGGCTAAAATCATTCTAAAAGCCCGAATAAGAAGAGAATTGCATCGACAATTCACCAATTATTTATATAAACAATCCATCATTTCATTTTTTTTCGAATCACACAACATAGAATTTAGAAAAGAGAACAATAGTAAAATCTAACCTGCAACAGGTTCGCAATCGTTTCAACAGTGGCGGTTTTGTTAACCCCTACTTCATAACACCTTACAATGAACCTCTCCTTATACGATAATCCATCCTCCGTCAAGCTCCCCAACCGAAGCCGGTCCGCCAAGCTCTTCTCCTTCTCCTCTTCCACCTCCTTCACACCAACAGCAAGTCCATTCGGCTGGTGACCAGTTACCGCCGCCACCACCGGCGAAACCCTCCGGGACGACGGACTGCGTAACAAAACACTGTTTCGTCTGCGAATTGAGGTGGAATCAAAGGATTGGGAATAAGTTACGAGACGAGTAAGGTCTCTAGAGACGACATTACATCCGGCGGTGGTCGCTGGCGTCAATGCGGCGGTTGATAACATGTTTTCCGGCTCTTTGGGATGTCAATGTCCACAAATTTCTCAGGCGGGTGAAGTGTATTTCTGGTTGCGTTTTTTGACGCAGGGGGGACGGAAACGGTATTTATATGCCGATAGATCCAAGGTAGATGTTGTTTGACCAGAATACCCATTCTACTTGGAGTTATTCACGTCTTCGGCACTAGAATAGGACTTGATAAACATGGGCAAAATAGACAATAAATTTTGAATTATATTTAGAAAATATAATTTTTTATGATAATATTATTGACAAATTATGGAGGCTTAGAAACGATATTTTGCGATTTTGAAGGACGGCCCGATGTTTATCGTTTTTATGCTTCAAATATATTAATAGTTTATAAATATAAATAATTTAAGGGAAAAGTACAATAAAAACCAATGAACTTTCTTGTTTGGAATGATTAAGTCCTTGAACTTTTTTT